CCCCCTCTTCCCCCTCCTCTTCAGTATTACTGTGCTGAAGGCAGTGACATACAGATGCGAAACGTAGTCACTCACAGAAGCATAAGAGCGAACGCTGACTACAACGGGGAGAACGATGGGCGTCTCTTTGTGACCACATAAACACCCAGATTTTCCGCCAGATGAACGGAGACGTGCAGGACCCCATTGCAACCATGCGGAAAAGTAAAGTTCAACAGGCGGAATATTTTTTTGGCGAGCTCATAAACAGTCAGACTTTCCGTCAGATGAGCGGCGACGTGCGGGATGATGCCATTGAAACCATGCGGAAAAGTAAAATTCAGCAGGCGAGATGTTTTTCTGGCTTTGCTCATATCCGCCGTATCAGTGAATGGTACCTGCTAGAAACTAAAAATATTATCAAAATTGTTGTAATAAAAATTAGTAAATTATTGTTTTGATGTTTTGATCAGCTCCAGTTCGTAGCTTCATTTTCTAGTTATGCGATTAACAGCTTTTCCCATTGCTTTGGTGACCAATGTTCTTTCGTTTGTTGTTGGTCGTCCTGTTGACAACCTGACGTTTATCTGTTTTTTTTTCTTACCGCAAATTTTACTCGAAATTCAGGAATTATTTTTTTACACACTTAAAATTTAGCTTTATTTCTTAATACCTCAGAGATCTGTACATTTTCAGCTCACCGCCTTACTACGAACTCAGCGGTCCGTCGTTGTTGGAATCTCAAAAACTGAATATCAAACATGCACTAAACGAATTGTATGGCAATAACATTGGACAACCGGTGTTGTACGAGTGGATTGCGCACGTGAAGAGTTATCTGGCTGAATGCGCCGAATCCAGTTCCAGGGAGCCAAAAAGGCCGAATGAGGGAGCATGCGTTGTTGCCATCCCCGATACTGCACTATTGACTACTGATCGACTTGTACGCCTTCCAACCATTATCAGCAGCAATACGATATTGGACCGGAGAAGCACTTTCCAGGCACATGTTGCTGAGGTTTTCAGCAAGGAAGAGGTAAGCTGTCTGTCTTATCTTCAAGAATGCATAGATAGGCTTTGCTCGGATTTTTCAGATCATCACTAGTCGCTTTTTATTACAGGTAATTCTGGCACTGAACAAACTGAAAGAAAATAACAAAATCGCTCGAGCAACGCATAACATATACGCCTGGTTGACCGAGGAATTCGTCAAAGGTCGATGGATCAGACAGCACGATTGCGATGTAATTTTTCGTTTTTTTCATGGGGGTTTTTTTTTTTTTCTTTTTGAAACTACCTTTATGAAGTTTTGAAGGATTTTGCCTTTATGAAGTGTTGAAGTTTGAAAAAGTCGAAAAAAAAGGGATAAGCGGACTAAGCCTTAGGTGAGATATTAGGATCCGCTTCAAAAATATGTATTTCGTTACATATATTGAAGGGAGTGCCGTAGCTTTGCTTGGTTTTTGGAAGCTTTTCAGTAGCATCACTAACATGGGCTTACCCACACTGATAGGATGCTCGGTCTTGGTATTCTTGATATTTATCAAACAAGTTTGTTTCACTTTTCAAGATTTTATTTAATTTTAGTTGGTATATGTTTATGAAAGATTATAAGGAAATAAAAAGGGGGAAAGTTTATTTTGTAATTCCTTTATGGACCTAAGTTTCAGAGCATAAAAGGTTTTTTGGAGTTTGTTCTAACTTTAGTTTTTTTTCTTTTTTTTTGTAAAATTATGAAATCATACTGGCGTTTTCACATCACCATGTTGAAAGCACTGACATACAGATGCGAAATAGGTCAGTAACAAAACCAAAAATAAATATTGGCGCTAACTGAGAGAGTTAATATTATTTGGTGGAAGGAAGGGAATTCTGTATTTTGGTGGATTTTTCTAAGGAATACTTTCGCGTTTTTTTTTTTTTTTTT